TTGTTTGTTAATGAGCAGCGGCAAACGAGGGAAGATGTCACACACTGGAATAGCAGAGAGATTTGTGACCCGGGCTCGCAGCACTAGGATGGAAAGACCGGAGCTATAAAAAAGGAAATACTTTGGGATGAAATGCAAAGTCTATACGGCAGAGCTTGTGTTTATGAGCTACCATTTTGCTAAGAGCTGTGAGAGAAATAAAGGTCTAGAAATATGCAGTTAAAACAGGGCCTATAAAATTAAAACCAAATTAAAGTATAGCAGAGGATTACTGCACAGACTGTACTCGGCAAAATATATTTTAAGTGATGAGGTGAAATCTAAATCAGCTTTGTTTGAATTTGGTGGATATTTATGAAATTCAATAAAAAAATTTTTTTGGGGGGAAAAAAAATCCAAACAAAGTAGATGCCCCATTCACTTCTACAGTCTCTGAGCTGTAAGCACCCATCACTTTGGGGGAAATTCCACTCGCCGACCCTTAAATAATTAGCAACTTCTGATTCACAGGCTGCACCCCTCTCTCCAGCCCTCGTCCTCTGTTACTTCGTGTCTTCCTAAGGACATTGCATGTGTGTAATAAACACGCAGGCAGAGCCCTGATGGGCCGGAGGCCCATGAATCAAGTGCCCCTGGCACGGCAGGAATTGAGCTCACTGCTTGATGGGGCCTTCTTTTTCTCTTTCCCCTCCTCCCTAGCTTTCCTTTGTAGCTTTCTACTCCTTTCCATTTTTCTTTTCCCTTCTGCTGTTTTTTCTGAGTCCTGGCTGCCCTTGTAAAGAATTTGGGAGGCAGCCTTGAGGGATGCAAGAAACAGTGCCAGGCAGGCATGTTGCTACATCCCTACAGGGCACCCCCAGGTGAGCATGCTGCCCACGCTGCCTGGCGCTGTCTGCATAAAAGAGAGAGGAGTTGATGTCACTAGCCCTAGGAATAGACTCACTTGCTCCAGGAAGGAGCCGGGGTGAAGGAGCCTGGGAGGAAATTCAACATGGTGAATCTCCATTTGCAAAAGAGATTTTAAGAATACATTCTGAGCTGGGTGTTGTATACACAGGCCTCAAATCCTAGCCTACAGGAGAGAGACTGAGGCAGGAAGTTCATAAGTTCGAGGCCAGACAGGCCTATAGACCAGCCTGGGCAACTTAATGAGGCTCCGTCTCAAAATCAAGCATAAGGAGAGGGTAAGGGATGCAGGTCAGTGGCAGAGTACTTGCCTCATGTGTATAAGGTTCAATTCCCAGAATTAAAAAACAAAAAAGATTAAAAGATGCACTCCAGTTGTTAGATATGCTGCTGAGCCATAACCATTCTTCATCAGAGACCCTCGTCTATTTGATGTTGAGTCTGGGCTTTGAGCGGAAATATCCAGGACCATATATGGCCCTCTTCCACACAGTGGGTCCAACAGTTCCGTGGCCTGGGACCATGACTGGATCAGTTCAGATGTGGAACCCTGGGGCTCACCCCTGTGGCATGGTTGAGTACTTGACTGTCCTAAGCTCTGGGGCCACACTCCAGTTCACCCAGCCTTCCTCGCAGTTTCATTGGTTGGCGGGTATTAGGGAGGTGTTTCCGTAATCGGTAGTCTCGCTTTGGTCCTGCTGTCTTCTTGACTCTCTTTCTGAGCTGGGAAGAAATGCCCAGGGCCACGGTCTCCACAGGAGCATAGTGATGGCCGTTCAGCTTTCAGACTGTTTTCTGCCTGACAGGGCAGGACCCCCAGACAAATCACTGGCTGGCTCTGTGGTAGTTGGCAGCCATTCAAGACTGGTCTTGTGCCAGGAGTATTACTAGATAGCCAGACAGATCAATTCACTTTTACATTCCCGCCATTATTTATAGCCCTGCTGTATATCTGCTCTTGCTTATGAAGTAATGATTAGCAAATACAGTACACATAAAACATGGGCATTTGTTCTGGAAAGAGCTTTCTCCTGCTGATACCGCAGATACCGTCACAGGTCACAGGACCTTCGGGAGGATTTAAAGGCCACGTCTCCGTGCGGCATTTGTTCCTTTGGAAATGATGCCCCTTCCGTCCTATCTGAGTAATTGAAGAGGCCAGGAAGGCTTTTCTCCCTGCTTGTGTGACGCTGTATTCTCTACAGCGCCTGTTCCCACTTCAGCCCGACCTGTGCAAAAGGAAGTTGCGCGGTGCAGTTGGCTATTTCAAATGACTGTTTTGTGCTTCCCTTTTGAGTGTGTCCGAGTGAGCCAAAGCACTTCAGTTAGGGTGTATGGGAGGGGATCTGGGATGGGATTGCTCCAGTGCTGGGAAACCTGACCAGACTCGGTGGAAGACTGGCTCCCAGGTTTGTTTGTGTGAAATCTTTTTTCCCAGGCACATGATCTATATTCACACATTTCTGGGGCACCCCAAAGAGTTCCCCCCTAGTGGTGATCTCCCAGCGTGTGTAATGACCATTGCTGAGTCAATGCATTTGAAGACATGTTCATTTAGGTCAGAGTCCATGATTGGAGACTATCACACTGCTTGGATCTTGGAGGGCGGGGACAGCTCTGTCTTTCTTTGAGAGTATATGGTGGCCATAAAGTACTTATTTGGAAACCTACATTCTGTACCCTGGAATCAAAGCCACACATTGATTAAGTCATAATTTCCTAGCAGAATCAACATATATAGTGAGAAGATAAAAAACAAAACCGCTAGGTTAGGAGGATGCTATTCGAAAGAGTAAAGCAGTGAAGAATTTGGAAACGTTGGGCTGTTGGCACACCGCTGGTCCATCACAGCTTCCACCTTGGTTCACTAGACAATTGAGGCACTTGCAAAGACTCGTGTCCCTCGGGCCGGAAAGTGCATCTTGTATTATTATGTGGACAGCATATTTCAGTGTCGGCAGATAGAGTTGGGACATATTTGATAAGAATATTGCCAATACATAAGAATAATTATAGTTTTGGGGTATATGGTTCTTGTTTATTTCTTGAGAAATTCTGTAATCTATTATATTAAGGATCTCTAACTCAGTAGGACTTTTTTCTTTGTCTTCTTATTTTGGGTACAGAGTTTCATGTATCCAGGCTAGCCTCAAACTCCCCATTTAGTGGAGGGTAACTTTGACCTTTTGATCCACCTGTTTGCCTCGTAGATGCTACTAAACCCAATGTCAGCTGTTCTGGGGACTGAACCCAGGGCTTCCTGCCTGCAAGGCAAGCCCTCTTCCAACTGTTTAAATGACGCCAGCCCTACGTCATTTAAAGCATTGTATAGAAAGCTCCCATTACATGGGGGAGAAAATTGCAACTCCCACCCCCTCTTAGGAATTTGTTTTGTTTTTACCTTTTTAAATGAATTTCCACAAAAACTCTTCATATGCATGGAAAACTGATGTTGTGAATTAAGCTATAGAATGAGGGGGGATCGCTTTTGATTCTTGACTGCAGAACCTCTTTCCCACAACACTTTATACTTTATAGTGGTTTCCAGTTTCCACGAACTTTTTCATACACTATCTGGTTTGAGTCTCACATCAGTCCTGCAAAGCAAACAATCCCCCCCTCCCCACAAATGAAGAAGACATGCCAGGTCTTTCAAGATTGGTGAATTGTTTTCTCTCTGACCAGAGAGAACCCTTTCCTGGGGCCCCTCCACCACTTCAGGCTCTTCCCCGGGTGTCCATCATTCTACAGAAAGTGTGCCCTCTTGTTTCTTAAGACAGCAGAGGCAAATTTACCAAATGAACAAGGTATTCCTCAGTCAAAGTCTTCAAAACTCCTCAGTCACCTTCAGCAACCCACGCTGGTGGTGATGAAAGCTCTTTAGACAGCCTAGGACTCTCCATCACCGAGGGAGAGGGCCCCCACAGCTAAGACCCCACTCTTCAGGGCAAGTTCAGCCTGTTCATCAGCTCTCCTTTCTTGTCTGTTGACGTCAGTAGCACCTCAGGCTGTCTAGGCAGAGCTTGTGTGTGTGTGTAGTCTAGTGATATGTTTTCTGGCAGAGCATTCGGATTGCGTTTTCTTCAGCAACGCTGAGAGAACACTGGGATGGCATTGTCTCCACCATGTGGTAAGGGTGGAGTTTTTGCTAAGTGATGCTGAAACCACCCAAAAGATAGAGGCATCTGGATACCTTCCTATGTTGGACCAAGAAGGGAGAGCAACCAAGACATTGAGGCAGAAAGCAATCTTCTATTACTTAAGTTAAAGCAAGAAAATAAAAGACTTATTGATTCTTTTCTTTGGCATTGATATAACCATCAATTTCTTCGCATTATACCAAATCACAGAATGGTATATAGTACCAAGGAAAGAGTCTGCGTATAGTTCATGGCCTCTAGAGCAAGTGGAGGGAGTGTCACTTGTCTGGAATATACATTTGCTCTTCATGTTCATGTTTCTTGTGGTCTTTCTCATGCTTCTTTTGGTCTTGTGATTGATGTAATCCATGGGGCTCTATAGATTTCCACTAAGCAATCTGAGTTATTTCACAGGGACCACAGAACGTGTTCTTCCTTGTTACCTACTGTGGGGGCAAACACCTCATTAGAAATTTATCCAAGGTGCTTCTGCAATGCTACTCAGTAGGAGTAACAGTTTAGAGAGCTGTTTTTGCTGTTGTTGTTTGGTTTGGCTTAGTTTTTCAAGAGATAGCTTCTCTGTGTCGCCCTGGCTGATGTGGGACTTACTTTGTAGACCGTGTTGGCCTCGAACTCAGGATCTGCCTGCTTCTGCCTCCCCAGTGCTGGGATTAAAGACGTGTGTTAATCTGGGACTGCCAAGATTGTTTTAGAGAGCTTTGTGTATCATTTTTGACTGATGAATAAGGAGTTTATAAAAACTGATTTGGCTCTTCGGGGCTGAGAGAGGGCAGTGGTGTCCCACTGACCCTTCTGGATCCGTTAAGATCTTCTGTTACCTACTCACCCTTACCCATCCCTGCTTACCCCTACCCACCACTGCCATTAAACCCCCAGAGTTTCTTCTTAAAGTTAAGGATTTAATCCAATAATCTCCAAACTATCTTCACCCCAGAACACAGGCAACCTGGAGAGCTACAGCTCTGATACCAAGTCCAGTTTATTGCTCTGCTCTCTACACTCGAAGGGAAATGGAGACTGGGTGATTTTCATCTCCCAAAGTGAGCCTGGGGTCTGTCCTTCCAAATCTGTGGCCCAGATTTAGAGTCCTCACCCCACATGTGCTCTGATGCTTTATCAGTCCTGTTTTTATTAGTCATCAAAATAGCTCCTCCATTGCTTTCCACGTTTGCCCTTCCAAGCTTTCCAGGGGTTAAACAGTATCAATAAGTGGTTATGAAAGAACCGTACAGATTTCTGAGTTTTTCTCCAAATGTTAATCTCCAACTTTGGTGTTTGCTTCCAACCACTAATGTCCATGTTTCAACCCTAAATAATTTAGAAAACAAGATTAGAATAGATATTGTAGATAAAATATGAAATGAAAAGAAATAACACAAATATACATTCTGAAACTCACTCTCCAGTGTTCAAGCGGCAGCAGAATTAAGTGCCCCGAATGGGTCGCTATGCTGATAACCAGGCACTACTCAGGATTCTTTTAGCAATATTGGAGACTCTCCTGTTCACCCTTCCAAGGTTTAAAAAAAATCATCAAACTTTATAATCTTTCAAATATGCTCCAAATACGTGGCTAAAAAATGAGATCCTTACAAAAAGTGTATGAACCAGGTATCCTGTCTCATCTGCAGCAGAGAAACGATGAATCAGAGAAGTTGCAAAGCTGAGAAGCTGTAAAAGGCATCACATTTACCTCCCGGCTTCAGCCCAAGGACATGTAAGCCCGGAACTCTTGTTTGACGTGTAGGTTAAGAGGTCTCCTCAATCTGAGATCTCTTCCCTCCCATGCTTCCTATTTCCTGCCGTCAGACTCCTTCAAGGTTCAAGATGTCACTGGTTCCCTCCACCCTTCCCTTCCCATCCACGCTATCTCCACCTTCTGCCTACACACTGGAACGTTCTTATAACATTGGAACGGGTCGGGCGATGCCGTTCCTTCACCGTGAAAGTGTCTGGAGAACCGCAAGGCAATGTGTGTCTCCGCAGGATGGCTCCAACGCTGCCCTGTAATTCTCAGGTGATGGCGTGATGCTTTACAATGCAAATCGGCCTTCACAGTCCACATTCAGGTCAAAGCTTTGAAGCCCTTCTCGTGATTCTCATTTTGCAGCTAAAGTGATTTAGACACTTACGCATTAAAGAGTTTGTCCCAAGCTGTACCATAAGGGCCATCAGCTGATTTCAGATGCACATTTCCAAACCTGTGCTTTTCCTAGTTCCTTCTCTCATCACCTAACTAGGTCGATGGATGGGTTAGTGCATCCTGTGTTTCCAGCTAAACGTGGAGACCTAGAGAACGCGAAGTTCATCTCAAAGTTAGTGGTTTTCTTTCCCTTTGCAAGCTCGGCCTCTCATACAAGTTCTCCTTTTATGCGCTCCCCTAAGAAGACCCGAGTGAACTGCCAAGGAGGCAGCAGACACTGAATAAATATTTGCTCAAAGGGATCAAGTGTCGTGCCTTCTAGAATTTCTACAAGCAATCAAAGGCTATTAATAAGGTAGAAGCAATGAACCCGAAGAATCAAGATCATCTGAAGGAGAACGTACCACGCACATCGTGATAATGGGACTCGTCATGTGTGCTATAGTGAAGAGGGAGGCGGGGAGATGCTACCAAACTGAAGCTGCCCCGTAAGGAGCTGTGCTGCCTGTGCCTGCTCACGGTCATGTTGGGTCTTCTGTTCTCTGCCCTCCCTTCTCACTGACCTGAAGCTCTTTCAGGCCATTTTCAGCGTAAAAATGATTTGGTGCCTCCTCACGTGACATTTTACCTAAAGTAAGACTGGCCATAAAAGTTGGTCTTTGTGGGAAAATTTAAGAAGTTGGCTTGAATTTCATCTGGGCAGTGGTGGCACACACCTTCAATCCCAGCACTTGGGAGGCAGAGGCAGGCAGATCTCTGTAGGTTTGAGGCCAGCCTGATCTACACAGAGAAACCCTGTCTCAAATAAACAAGGAAAAGAGAAGCCTCAATTCCTAAGACAAAATTATTCTCTGAATTTTTGTACCCTGATACACAGGCCAAATCAATAGATGATTCACATCTCAAATCACAGTTCTCCTATAACAACAGAACTAAACAACAAGAACGTTAGCTTGGAGCTGCTCCTCAGGTTCAGAATGGAAGGTAGAATTTAAGGTTATGTATTTCTCGCCAGGCTGAACCATGCTCCCATGTTAATTTCTTTTAAAGATTTGAAATCTTAACTACTGTAGAACTACATGCCCTTTCTGCTTCTTCTAGACTTTACCTTAGAATGGCTTATGCATTTAGATATGATAAAAATTCTAGTCTAAGATTTCCTTAGAAAGGGAGTCTTACCAAGGCCCTGAGCTACACCGTTGGTATAAAAGGTGGCTCCGTTGCCCCACCTCCCTGAGGAATGCCAGCTAAAGGAAACATGGCCGCTGTAACTCCTGGTTTGCTAGACTTCAACCTTGTGTGTGCTTGCACCAGAGCCCACTTTAGCCACTGACTGAGCCACGGGATTGGATTTTGTGAACATTCAGTTCCACTGGCTGGCAAATGGCAACAGACACCACTCCCTTGCTTGGGCTTTGTGAGAATCAAATAAGAATATGCATCTGTGAATATACCCCATTTACCGTCTAGCTCAATAAAGGTCAGGGATGAGAACAAGAATGAAAGTAAAGGAGTGCATGATGAAAGCCTCAGAAAAATATGGAAAACCACCTAATGACGGCCACAAACTGACACTTGAACTGTGAGTTAGCTACATGCCTTCTAAGGTGTTCACTGAACATGTTAGCTTTTCTTTTCTAAGTCAGAGTTTAATGAATACACAGAAAGAAAGAAAGAAAGAAAGAAAGAAAGAAAGAAAGAAAGAAAGAAAGAAAGAAAGAAAGAAGGAAAGGAAGGAAGGAAGGAAGGAAGGAAGGAAGAAAGAGAAGGGAAAAGAAAAAGAAAAGAAAATTGTGATGGGTATCCATGCCAAACAGTGCTAATTTCCATGGTTTTATTTTTACCATCTCCCTATGTATGCTCATATATAAAAAAATTTGCCATGATCTCCACCTCGGCCATACCCTCATCCTAAGCAGAGCACATCCTAACAATTCAGCGGGCTCCACTTCGCCAAGGGTTTAAGCAGAGTTCCCGAATTCCTGGGCTGTGCCTGCCTTTCGGCGCATCAGTGAGTCACAGTTACTGATCAACCTACTAATGCCACCGTTCACAAATGGGAATGGGCCAACCCCTGCTGGTGTAATGATCAGCTGGAGGTGCAGTGGGCTGGGCGCCGAACAGCTGACGGTGCTCCTCGTTTCTAGAGGGGGGCCCTTGAGATGACTGTGTGGAGGTAGGCAAGGCTAGGCAACTGTGACACCTCCCCAGGGTCCCTTTGGTGCCAGGGATTTAAGAGCCTCAGCTGTCAAAGAACAATAAATTTCCCTTCAAAATATAAAACATAAATCAGTGTTTCACAAACACTGAAAGGCAAGAAGAAACTAAATCCCCACAATAATGAAAAGAATCCTGTTAATTAAATCAGTAAGGTAGAGAGCTTCCCTCCCAGCACACGGCCCCGCTGAACACTAGAATACCTTGGAGACCAGAGCTGAAATCCAAGCTTTCTCTAGTCTGCAAGCCAGCATCCTGAGGGAACATTTAGAAGAAGAAGCGGGTGGGGGAAATCTTAGAAACAGGACAAGTAAACACGACTTTTTTTTTTTAAGAAGTTGTTGGACAATGTTTATCTAGATAGGGAAGTTGCAAAACAGATTGTAAACGAGGCTCGGCGCGCGTGTGCCAACCTCTTATCAGATCTGCACCTGTCCGGGGTAAGCCGAAAGCCATATCCTGCTGTGAGCAGAGACATAGACTCCAATACATGGTGCTCGGAGGGAAGGGGAGAGATGCCAGTCCTTACTCCAGAGTGTCTCTGTGTTTGATTGGTTGACTTGGTGGATGATTGGTTGGTTGGCCTCACTCTACCGTCGTCTTCCATTTTATTTGCCCCTCAAACTCCCTTGGCTCAAGCAGTTTCTAACAATGATTCCTTCCTTCCCACATCTTCCTTTTCATTCTGCGCAGACACTCGTGGAGATTTGTGGGTTCCTTTAATGTCTGATTAACTGGCTGGTCTACTAAGAGAGAGTGTGTTGCCAGGATTGGGGAAAGTTGGGGTAAACAGGGGTTGTGGTTTCTTAGGAATCCTGGTAGTTCAGGGTCACATGCCTGTTGGGCAAATCACTGACAAATAGCAAGAGCCCTCACAGAAATGAAAACCAACCTGACTCTGTCTACTCCGGTCTTGGGTTTCCCTCTTTTGTTTGGCTGTGTCTATTTCTGATTTTTTGTTGTTTTGAGTCAGGCTGGCCTGGAATTAGCAATGTAGCCCACACTGACCTGAAGTTTGCTATGAAGCCAAGGCTGGCCTGGAATCTCATATCCTACCTCTGCCTCCCAAGTACTGGGACTTCAGGCATATACCACCATACCCAGCTTGAGTTCTGCCCTTCAAGCGCCTCGCAAGCAAGTTACCTCAAAGCCATAGGTTACCAGTTTTTAAAGTGGATTTCACTGCCTTTAAAATACACCAGTATCCATTCCCAGAATCTGAGACCTCTCTTCTGAACCCTTCTAAATGTTTAAGACTACAAAGGAACCCTGGTCTTCCTCCATACCCAACATTTAACTAATCATTAGTCACTACGTTATAAACGCCACAGAATATGCTTGCTGAATGGTTTTGTTCACTCGGTTGTCTATCTGCGCCCGACAGGCTTTGCTTTGAGTCCTCTGACCGCAGGGGCGAGGTGGTGGGTCTCAGCTGCGTCCCTTTGCCCGTCACCTGTCACCTAGTTCACATCTACACACAAACACAGGAAGATCATTCTCTGTGTTAAAGGTCAACATGTCAGAAGCATTGCAGACAGACTTTAAAAGACAGGGTAACTAGGGTTTGAACCTGGTCCTCATCCATCCTAGGCAAGCCCCCTACCTCTGAACTACTCCCCCAGCCCACGTTAGTTGTTATTGTTGCTGTTGTGATTAGTTTGTTTTTCATGGGTTGGTTTGTTTTGAAATAAGGTCTCATGTAATCCAGACTGACCTTGAGCTGCTTATCTAGCTACTGGCATTTAATTCCTTATTTCCCTGCTTCTGCTTCCCAGATACTGGGATTCCAAGAACGCATCACCATGCCCAGCATGAGCCCTCTTTTTATTCTTTATTTTGAGACAGAGTTGTGCCAAGTTTCCCAGGATAGCCTTGGACTTTTGATAGTTCTACCTCAGTTTCCTGGGTAAGTGAAATTAGCAGGCCTATACCACTAGACCTATAACCACTAGGATTCACTAACTTTCAAACTGGTAACAAAATTGAGTCCATAACTGCAAGATTGCCACCCCTCAGATCTCACTATACTGCCATTCAGTCACTCTGACAGAAAGTAGTGAATGCAGTGTGGCCCAACCCTAGTACTCTGTAGCTGAGACAAGCTCATAGTGGCAGTAAATGCCCAGACTAATAGCTCGGCAAAGCAGGACAAGATGGCGGCCCCCAATGACCTAGCTGGGTTGTGGATCGTTGTGGTTTCCCTTCTCCATGCTGATTCCTCTCACAACAGCATCTCTGTCTGTCCTTGGTGAGGGGTGGCGTGGATCTCCCAAGATTTTGATTTTTCCTAAGTTTGTCAAATCAAGAAAGACTTAAAGTCATACAGTCTACTAATGAGTCTGTATGTGTGTCTATTCAATATATGTGTGCGTGAGCACACTGCAAGGAACATGTTAGGAAGGGTTTTAAATTATGCTTGTCTTAGCTAATTTTTTAGGAATGCTACTTTTCTTAAGGATGTTGTTGTTTTAACAGTATTTTGAAGGGCTGTGGAGATGGCTCAGTGGGTAAGAGCATTGCTGGCAAGTATACGAACCAAGCTTGAATACCTGAACACCCATATAAGAAAGTGGCCCTGACTCTTCTTCCATCGAACCCCAGTGTTGGAGAGTGGAGACAGGCAGCCCCTAGGGGCTCCTAGCCTAGCCTAGCCAAAATGGTGAACTTCTATGAGCGGGAGAGCCTGTCTTAAAGGATAGGGTGGAGAGCAATGGAAGAAGACACTGACACACATGGGTGCACACGCTCATGTGTACACATTTTACACACACACACACACATCTGGAAATAGCTAGTACACGGTGCAACATCTGTGTTCACTGGCTTTACTAATGATCCCTTCAGTCACAAGTGCGTGACTGTCAGCTGGTAGAGCGACTGTTTCAGAAGACAGTGTTAACTGTTTCCTAAAGCCAGAACTTTAATAATAATTTAACAGAGAACATTAAACTAGATGCTGATTTCATGTAGATCCAACTATGCCTCTGCCTGAGTTTACGCTTACCTTTTTAAAATAGCTTCTTCTCAGAGTCTAGCGTGATCTCTGCAGCTCCAGAGCTGTGTAGGGTGGACATAGGAGGATCGCTGTGGCTTCCTGGCTGCCGGACAAGTCGAGAAGCCCAAGTTTAAGATGCAGGAAGAGACCCTACCTCGATAGTACCAGGCCAGAGTGACCCACGTTGCCTGCTCTGGCCTCCATGAGTTCACAAGCACGGGTGCACGCACCTGTGTAAGCACACACATCTACATACACACGACCACATACACCATGTGCACATACACAAAAATAAAATAAGTGCCAAAATAAGAATAAGTTAATAAATTAAATGGAATATAAACTTCTTCTCAGCCACATCTCTGGGTTAACTTGGGAAGTCACACCAGCTGCCAGTGAGTGGACTTCTGCACTCAGAACTACTTGCTAGAAACCCAGTAGGCACAGCTTCACAAACACAGTAATCAGCTCATTCTAAAGTCCAAAACTAATCAGCATGGCAACATTAGAGGGCTGGGGACATGGTGCCTTCAGGAAAGTTCTGGCTAATAATAATAATAATAATAATAATAATAATAATAATAATAATAATAATAATAAAACAGAGACAGTGGTTCACCAGAATCCCATGCTGGGAAAGTAGAGACAGGTGAATCCCGGGGTTCCCTAACCACTAGGTCTAGCCAAATCGTTGAGTGCCTGGGTCAGTGACAGACTCTGTCTCAGGGCAGTTGAGGTGCTACAGCTGGGAAAAGGGACCTATCCCGCAAACTTGATGACCTGAGTTGGATTCCCAGACCCAACCAACTAACCAACTACCAAAAGTTGTTCTCTGACCTCCACAAATGTACACACCACACCACACACACACACACATCCCATATACACTCACACATCATCATCAGAGCAAATGAAATTAAAAGAAAAAGAAAAAAGAGCTTGTCTCAAGAAATGAGATAGAGAAGTAATGAAGGAAGATCCTGGATGTTGACCTCTGTACGCCACAAACAAGCACACACAGAGAGCGAAAGACATAACATTACAGATTACAATTTACTCTTAACTGTTCCCTTAGTGTGATTTCTCCTGTCTATAGGGGGCCTGGCTGTGATTCAGCCTGGCTTTCTCATGTCTGTAGGTTTTGCAGGGGGAGGCCAAAGGCCTGGTGTGGACAATAGACACACAACTGGCATGAGAGAGGCTGACCCCCTCCACCGTCTGAGGGGTGGGGTGACTGTAACCAAATGCCATTTTCTGTCCGTAGTGTCATCATTTTGACAATTTTAGCACCTTTTCTTTTCCTGGAATGGGCAGAGGGACAGGTGAGGGGCAAGTCTCCTGAGCAGGAATTTTCACAAACTTAAAAAGAGGAGGAATAAAGTTTGCATTCCTCCATGTTTCTATATGACAGATTAAAAGTCACACAGGTATGCAGAGCTGCTTACGCCTTGCCAAAGTGACAGTCTGAACGTTTTGATGTCATCTGCTGGCTGGACCCCTGAGACTTTCCTGGGATCCAAATTCAGTTGACTCACCCGTCCCTTCTGGTGTTCAAGAAAGGAAGGAAAAAGGTCCCTGCTCCTTCTTGTCCCCTTCCTTTATTGTACGCTTTGCTTTGTTTGTTTGATTTTAAAACTGCCATTACGTGGAAGTGTAGCAAGTATAAATAATTGAGAAGATAACTCTGTAGGGAAACCGCTCTCACTGCCTTTGTGCAGAGGCAGCTCATTACAGCTCTGAGCTGCAGCATTCCATAAGAGCAATTATGCAGCATCAGTATGTCATGGATATTAACCAAGGGGAGTAGATAAGACACGGGAAAATCATCTTGTATCTTATTTAATTAAATTTATTTGGTTTTTCCAATAGGTCCTCTCGTGTGCAATTTCTCGGACCACGCCTTAGTTGCTGTGGTCTTTGCAGGACTGGTGCATGGCATTTGTGTTTTTGGCATTCCTCCTCAATTTTGTATAGACCTAAAATGTATTTATATTGGGATTTAATTTCTACCCAAGGAGAGGTTACCCATGAAAATGGAACCATAATTTGGTCATGAGGTTTTTATCCCTCCTAGGGCTTATATAGCCAGTTAATATATGTTAATACAGCAAAGCGAATAAAAGGTTAAACAAGTGGGTCAGGCTTGGAGACTCTTAGAATGCTTACTTCTGCTTAAACGGAAGGAAAAGCCCGTAATGGCGCTCGCCTGACTTTCACCCCCATCATTTTAAGAATTGCTTTGCCAATCCTTCACAGCAAATAGTAATTTTAAGTGGACCAAAACAGAGCTCAGGGTGTTTGCACTCCACAGTAATGATAGAGTAGCCGTGCTCCCTGGAGTCAATAAGCCCAACAATTGAGTCATTTTTGCCTCCTGTGAGTGAATCACTGCTGTTAGCCTGAATGACAGGCTTGCCTATAGAGCCAGGGCCCTTCGCCACATTGACCTC